AACACTTCCTCAAATTAGACTTGAACTTGTTGTTAAATTATTTACTACAGTTTTTTTTTATTTCTTGGTTGTTACTTCCTTTTTCTTTTAACAGACAAGTTTGATGGTACATGGTTCCTGTGTTTTCACAGCTTTCAGGCTTATTTATCGTGTTCACAGGGCGTTTACACTGTTTATCATTAGGACCCATATTTATCAAGTATCTCAACATCCTGCAACATTAATTCATGAAGTTATTTATATCAATCATGAAACTCCTTAGAGATGGTGAGCCGTTGCTGTTGTCGCTGACGTTTTACCACACACTCAGTTGCAAAATGACAATAACAGAAGTGTTGCAGTTTTCAGCTCTAGTTTGGAGTAACTTAAAATGTAAGCAACTTGTTGTTATGTATAAGTTCATGTGTGTACAGGCAGATGTTTCCGTTTCTGCAATTACATCTCATGGTTCAGTGTGGACGTGGATGACTGTGTGTAGTTTCATCCTCAGGACAGTGATGTGAGGTTAAAGAATGAGCTAAAACTTAGGGCTGCTCGATTAAATGGAGAGAAAAATCCTTGATCACGATTATTTCTGAGGTCAAATTGAAATCACGATTATTCAAAAGATTTTTTTTTTAAAACTTCAGAAACATGCCTGCCATTTATTGGACGTTTGTCACAAAACACTTTGCAAGGAAGTCCTCAGTTACACTTTTCCTTTTCCCGTAACATATTTTGTAGTCTCCTCCGTTACATGTGTACAAGATGAAAACAACGTAACATGGAGAAGACTTAAGCCAGCTTGGTGTCGCGACCACCAGCGCAAGTAGAAATAGTTACGGTGCTCCCGTGACTCATCACATTGTCGCGCGACAGGTCGATGGAACGGCGAGTATAACCGAGCGCATGACTCGTGTGCAGTGCGTGCTGTTGTGTGCGGAGGGACGGAAAATACCATGCGCGAAATACGCAGACTGTATACAATGACAGTAGTAGTAATAGTCCCACGATGTTAAATCAACATAAAGAAAAAAGCAATGAAAATGTTTTCCTCTATAGAATATTTAGAAACAGAAATATAACAGATATCTGCAGACTAGGTCTGCACAATTAATTGAAATACATATATATTCAAATTGCAGAAGCTGCTATTTTTTAATGAAGGTAAAATGTGTGACAAAAAAGAGTTATAATAAAGAACTGTCATTCTGTAGAGATGTCCTGGGCTACAAATCTTGTTCTCCAGATTTAAGAAAAAACGCGTTTGTTTCGTACAAAACCCCAAAAATGTCACATGATCATGATTTTATTTGTTTTTTTAAGTTAAAAAATTCAGCACTACTTGTGAATCATATCACATCATCTGTTAAAATAATCATGATACGATGCTTTTACCATATCGTGCAGCCATACTTCAAACCTGACTGGTCGGATACCATTGTAAACTGACCCTTTTAAACCTGTTTAAATTAACATTCATGTTTAATTCATATGAATTGCTCCCTGGAGAAAAATACAGCTAAAAGCTTCACCTATAGGAACCTTTGTTTCATGTCATCTCTCTATTGTCCGTTCTCAATAAACGCAAAAAAGCTCCAAAGTGGCTTAAAAACAAGCTCTTAAGTCGGAGTCTAACCGTCCCCTCTCCTCCACGGATGGTCGATCAGTATAAACAGTCTGTGTGAGAACTGACCATTTTTTTTTCTTCTGTGGTGTCGTTATTTTCCAGCTTGTGGCTGTACTCCATCAGCAGAGCAGCTGGTTTCCATTCTGGTGTCAGAGGTCAGAGGTCACAGAGAGAGAGAGATACAGGAAGGAGTGCTGTCACATGGTTTTCTCTTTGCAGGAAACCATATGACCTTTAACCCTGTCACCACCCTATATACCCTAAAATAACATACAGACACTGTGACTCAGCTGATAGTCATTAACCCTCCACTGTCTCTCTTTCTCTGTCCCTGTCTGTCTCTCACTTTGTTGTCAGTCTGACTGGGTAACCATGTATTTACTACTGTAAATCCTCATTTCATTTATTTTGATTCAGTGGTCCTCAAACTGGCTCCTTGAAGGGGTCCCAAGGAAAATGGAGAATATTTTAATTTCACTATTATTAGCCCAGTGAGAGAATGGTGGGCTTCACACTATTCATTGTTAAATAGTTTTAATATTCATATTATAATATTCATATTATATTTAGTGTTTGGGCACATGGGACTACTGATTTTTCTCAAAATGGTAGAAAGTACCCTATAATAAGCAATAAAAATGTAGGAATTTTCAGTTATTTGCAGTTTATACATGCGACAGACTCCTACATACATATATATTCTAAATTTTCATAAAGTTGCATAGAACTATTATTAGTCACAGCAGGTGAAAACAATCACTTGAGGAGCCATTCTTCATTAGTTAAAATGAATTTTAACACCCATTGAAACTAATGGAGAAAGTGTGTATGTTTGCTTCTATTAACCTGTCTACAGTATAGACAGTTATGGAAACACTCATCAGATCGGGATCCCTGAGGCTACATCTTAACGCTACATCTTAAGGCTACATCTACACAATACACCAACAAGGTTTTGAGATATAGCGTCACCAAACTCCTACAATAGTCAGTACTTGTGTTTTATTGTCTTTTTATCATCATCTGTGATGTGAAAACATCAGATTTCCACACAGTCAGAGAAACAATAAGTGTGGGGAGCGTTTCTCCTGTCAGCCGAAGAGTTAATGACACTGAACGGCAGAAAAGTAGTTTAGCTGACTGCGAGGCAGCGAACAGAAACGAGTCACGCTGCTCTGCATTGCTCTGCCCTCAGTTTCCATTACATTTAGTTTTGTAGTTAGATAATTAAACTGCAGTGATTCTGGACTAGGAGAGTTTCTTGACTGATGATTCCAGTCATATTATGTCAGAATAAAGCTGTTAGGAACATTTATATAAAACCCACCTCTGTTTGAATGACAAAAAGCCATCACATTACCAGCCTGATGAAGCCAGCAATGGTTTGTATTCTGAAGAGAAAAGTTAACGTACGCCTCAAATAACTCCTCACACTTCACTACTCTGTTTACCAATATGTTATGGACCTTACTTTTTTATTCTAATTATTTAATTTGGGCGTTTTTTATTTGCCTTTTTGTGGCATTTCTGCTTTATTTATATAGTGACAACTGGTGAGAGACAGGAAAGGGGGCAGAGAGAGGGGGGTGATGTGCAGCTGGAATCAAACCCAAGCTGCTGTGGTAAGGACTTGAGCACTTTCAGGTGAGCTACCGGGGCGCAGAATGAATTTTTTAACAGAGCTATTGATCCATGTGCCCCTGTTTCCTGTGTGGACAGATCAAATGTCCAGCTGATCAGTTTGTTCTGAACTGCTTCTGTGTTTAAGTCCCTTGTTCCAGGACAGTAAACATGGCCCACAGTCATGTGTCCTGTGTTTTAAATATTGATGAGTATATATATGATGAGGAGTTTTTACATTAACACAAACATACACAAATGTTATGAACGGTTTCATTTGCTATTTAGGAATTGTCAGACATTTTACCCATTGTAATAAATAAATTAATTAATGTAATCTAAGCATCAGCCCGAGATATTACGAGTGATACCGATATATCGGCTCCAGCTAACCTCATGAAGCAGTGAGAGAAATCAGGACATAAACCAGGCAAAGTAATAATATACAATGAGTCCTGTTATCGACCATCAAAAGGTCAACCACACCAGAGAGAGAGAATACGTCGGAGCTTTAACCTGGAAGGCCAGTTGGAGTCGTACCTGTGGCCTGTTTGATCTGGTGGATGATCTGGGCCCTTTTTTCAGGCCCTGCCACCTGTTGTCCATGTCTCCCCACCCCCATGACGTGAAATCAAACTGACAAACACAGCAGTTTCATTTATGTTACAGTTCATATATAAGAAAAATATAAAAACGTCTGACAGATGAGACTATGGCAGCGTACCTCCCTGCTGGACGCATCTGCTTCATCCAACGTATGTGGGCGCAAAACCTGTAGGTGGATCCCCATGGTGCTCAAGCAGCACCAGTTGTGATTCACCCTTAAAAAGGACAAAACTTATTTCTTTAATGTACCTTTGACAGCATTGCAGTTTGCTTTATTCGTTTTGATCCAAGAGAACAAACCACCAGACTAAAATCCTACAGAAAAATGTGATGCTTTTGAGACGTAGTCAGGCTTTATTTTGTCTCACAATTTATCAAAAGTTCTGATTTGTGTTTGGTAAACATGAACCTAAAACTGACCTGGAAGTGGTTGCCTAAGGCCCTTGTTGACAACTAGGCCCTGACGCCCTCCATCTGCATAGGAAAGACCTCTGAGAAGAAAACCCAGAACACGCGAGGAGATCACCCAACCCAGGTACTGGCCAGACACCCCTTTACAACACTTCAAAACCAGTAGGAGTCAGTATGAGCCACAAGGCTCTTAAGTGACTCGAGCAGGAATCCAACACGTCCAACCCAATT